AAATTGCTAAATAAAATTTAGGGGATAAAAAGATTAATATAACAGTGTAGATTTGTTGGATGGATTTCTTTTCGTATCGATTAGAATCGCCGAAATTTCAAGAAACGTTTCGACGCAGATTGCGCAATATTTGCAACGGCCGGGAGAGATACTACGCAGCTGGTTTTACGTGTAACGTAGCTAGATCGGTTGGATCGCAGAGTGAAAGATTCGGTTGATGCAAGGTGGGCTAGGTGGATAAATGGGTTGGTAGGGGCACGGCGTAGAAAGGGTGGGTCGCCCCTGGGTAAAGTAGGGGTGGTCCAGCGAGCAGATTCCTGGGCTGATCGATGGAACGACCGGCGCATTGGATTTTCCAAGAGTAGCGCGCGCATTCCCATCCTTCCCAACAGCATTGCATCCACCGTGTCTTTCAGTTACTCACGATCCTGCCGTGGTGGTGCATCCACCTTTCGGCGAGTGCGTGCCTGCTAACGAGAGAACGATGCAACTGTGTCACTAGGCCGTGTGGCACGTGATCCTGTCCTTGCACGGTGCTGCTCCTCTTTCACATCCGTGGCGACGTCCAATGATCGCGACGTATCGGGAACGCGCTCCTTGAATTTCCAAGGGGACGTGCGTGGTGCGTGATCCAATCTCTCTTCCACGGAAATTCCTCTCGTCTCGTTCTCGTTCTCGTTCTCGTTCACGTTCACATCCCTCTCCCCTCTTCCCCCCGTTGCTGTAACTCAACCGTAAACGTAGGTACGTAGCGACGCATCTCCGACACGAAGTGAAAAATAGATTATTACGATATTCAGAGGCAAAATTGATTTACGGGACGACAGGGTCAGCCTAAGTGCGTTTGTCGTAACACGAAAAGACCGGCTGATGTCGCTAGGAAGTGAACGGAAGAGTATTCGCTATTGCCAGGTGAGACACGTGGTGTTCAGATCCTATGGTGTGATAGATTACTCTCTGTCGAATACACATTACATCTCTTTTTCCCTTCTTCTGTCTCACCCCATCCCCTCTGTATAACGCAAGCGTTCGAATGGTTTTAGACGTTTTTACTGGAAACATGCATAAACGTCGGTCCGTCGATGGAAACGTACAGGAACAGGCTTTGCCCATTCCAGTTCAGATGTTCCTTTGGCGACAGTTGAGGTACACACAACATCCTTCCATGCAAATCAGTCTAGCTCGTCGACGATCAATTTATCGGTATCAAATATTAATAGTATCAACGATGAGATCCAACGTTCTCTTGAAAGAAAAGATGCGCAGGTGACACTCATCTTCGTAAAAAAAAAAGGAAAAAAAAAAGTAGTGTTTAGTTACATCAATGTGCCGTTTAAATTATTTACGTAGAACGTAAAGATTACATAAGGATATGAATTGTTATCTGCGTGTTTATCTGTTTCAATTTATTTTCGAGTTAACAATCTCCATCATTCACATATTGATGCACTACTGTACCGTATATTGTATAACAATTATATACAATATATAATTTGCATATTGCAGGCCATTCATACGTGCGAAACTTGGCAAGCTTCACGAAGCATCCTGCACGGTAAAAATTCATACCTTCATTTTTATAGATGTCCTTTTTATAAGTGAGGTGAACGATGTGCGAGCGTATGTGTATGAGTGTATGCGCGAGTGCGTGTACGTATATATGTGTAACATATACAACAATGCAAAACTATTACAACGTTTCTGAATTTTGTTTGCAAATTAGTTTTATAGCAAAAGCCCCCAAACAAGTCTTGTGATAGATACGATTAAATGATTGGTTATACTTGATGCAAACTATTAAGACACGATATCTCTGGCATATACGTCCACAAATTCGAATCAAGAACTTCCAATTTGTAGACACGCTTTTGCTCCATTACATAAACGGAGGAACAAAACATTGTTCTGTCCGAAAGTTTCGCTTTCGTGATTGTCCTCGGTAAATTTGTTGTGCTTTTTGTTGGAGATTTGCCTTATTTATGTGTACGGAGAAAATGAAAATTTAATAAAGTCCAAGTGATTCTTTTTCTACTTATTTCAACATGACTTTATAAACACGAAGTGAGCAACGAAGCTCAATGTGTCATTAAATTCGAATTAATTCAAATTTAGACAGACAGACAATAATATGATTAATTAAATTTGTGCTGACAGTCAATGTATGATTCGTGCCAAATGAATAAAATCAGTTTCGCTATGCAGAAATTATCAAGAGGTGGAGTTTTTGTATGAATATTCATTGCAATTAAAGATATTGGTAATCAAACGCGAGAACCACACGAATCGAGATGAATCTGCGGAAATAAACTCGCAATGAAAAATTACAAATTATTTCAAAGTACTTTGAACGAAAGAGGAATTATCAATTGCAATTTACACGAGTAATCTTCGTTAAGTTACCGAAAGGATTTTATTCGAGCTTTTTTTTTTGCACTCATGGAATCCAAAGTTTTGTTCTTACACGTACAGATGGAATGAAAAGATAAGTAAACACAGAGGAAGAAAGAATATATAAATATGGAATTGACACGTTGTAGAAAGATACTGCAGGATTTCATGCCGTGCAAAATCCTTATCAACCATATCCTGTCAGCCTTTTGTTTTCCAATACCTACCCGACCTGCACTAACAATGTAACCTCCTCCACGCTGCCGCCTCCACGTGTCACCTGCAGTTCTGTCAACACGCGCCAGGCCATCATGTAAGTTCGCTAAGCCTGATACCTGCCTGCTCCCATGCTTGCCAACCGATTTATACAATTCTTATACTCTCTTGTTATTCTGGTTCGATTACTAGAGGGAATTCACTATTTATAAATACTTATTCCTTTATTGTATGCTTCTTTTCTACAAATACAAAAATTTGCCTTATTTGCAATACCAAATACCTTATTAATACCTTCGATAATATTTAATCCAACTTTCTCTGTTCTTATACACTTTTGCGTAGCTTTTCTTCTAGCTCAACTTCAAACTATATGTCTTGTACATATTGTAATATGTTTATTTCGCCTCTAGTTACTACTAAGAATTAAGTAGAAATGTGGATATAGTTTCGGATTGGTAAATTAATTAACACAATTAATTAAGCTGACATGCTTTTGCCGACACATCGTTCTTCAATTTCATCGTTCTGTCGCGAAATTTTTGTATTTTTTCATCACGTGTTCAGTGGTGAGTAGTGAGTTTTTATAGTAATTGTTTCTCACATTTAAGACAAGATACCTCGAACAATTGTAAGCACTGATTCTTCTTAATAATTCACACATCATTTTTGTTTTGTTAACTGTGTATGTGATGCAACGACATACGATTTTTACTTTGCTTGTCGCAACTATTTCTTTCCTCTTATTCATCTTTTACTCACTGTTTGTACAACTTTCAAATCTTTCCTGCAACGTGCTCGAAGGAACGAGCTACTAATCTTGCTCCTGTGTTTTTTAATGCGTACGTAGGAGACCAAGGAAGCTTGTACGGTTGGTATAACTACTTCAATATTAATTCCTATCTTCACTGCTCTCAAATATGTTTCAAATAATTTAATTACACGACGCTTGAACTGTCAAGCTTTTCAAACAACTTTCAAATGTTCGTTGATAGTCTCTGGAGAAAGTGTTAGTTCAGAATCTTCACAATGATTTAACACCCTCTTTGAGCCTGATACTGGGCAGTGTGCCACGATGGCGTTTGATCCAGGCCGCTCTTCCCTACATTCTCCATGCCACGGCCAATCTTTTGCACAATAGGTGAGTTGCCTGCCATTGTGCTTTTTTTTTCCTGTAATACCTCCTAGCTTCTAGATTCCATTTTTTTTTACGCGAACCGTTTTTGGTTAATCATTAAGGAAGGATTTTCAAACTCTTGGAGCCATGGAGACAACACTTCTTTACATTCTGCACTGGATACTGCTGGACGCTGCTGAAGAATGTGCCGAAACGGATGCCGATCCAGGAAATCCCTTTTATTATCTATTTTCTATACCCACTATGAGTGTAAGATTACTTTATCGATTTACTCACTTTGTTAATTTTATGGAATTTTCTTGTGAGAAAAAGTATATCAATGATTAATGTAGATTCCGGATTTATGCATTTCTATGCATTTAGTAAAAATTTAAATGTGAAAAATACATTGAATATCTAAAGCAGGGAAATCTGTAGTGATATGTAACAAATGATTTTTATTTAGTTTTCTTTTTTTAATTAAGTTCGTGAAAATATAGAAATATATAAAAATCTGCAATGTAATGATTAACTGTTACTGGATTATTATAAAATAATCTAATAGTGTCACGTGTCTTTGCTTCTCGTAGCTGTTCGTCTATCTTTTCGCACCGCTGTGTAATCACCTGAAAGATATCGATTTTAAAACAAACTTACGTTTGGAGAACGGTTTAAAAATATGGTCGGCCATGTATGAATGTCGTCATCCGGATACACCTTGCTTCACTACACACTGTCGAATTAAACCACAAGTTTTGTGGAGTCGATCATTCAAGTTTTACAAACAACATCAAATGTCAGATGATGTGTTTGTTGGAGGGAGTAAGTGAAATTATTTCACGTTCTTTCGTATGGCATGATTACAATATAATATATTATATAATATATGTGTCATAATACATTACATTAATTATATTAAATTATTTTACTTATTGTATTATATTATATTATATTATATATTATATGCAAGCTATCCCATTTGAAACGTCCCACGTTCGTTATAGAAAAAATATTTCCAGCAAAATTTACTTTGTTTTGAATGGGGCATAGTTATAAATGATAATTATAAATCTTGGCCTAAGTGGATTTTAAAATGATCTTTGTTTTTTTTGAATGAAGTTATATATTTTCCTTTAAATAAATATGATGAATTTATCAATCTGTCATGTATGAAATAGCCTGAAACATTGGAAAAGGTGCAATTATCCTTTAGAGACAGAATAAATCTAATCTAGATTCAGAGATAGATAAAGTAAGTAGTTCGAATATGAAAGATAAAGTAATAATTTCTTTCTACGTTCAATACAAGTGACTGAATAATTTTGAAATATATGTTCATGTTCATCTAAAGAAAAATACATAGTTTCATTTGAAAAGAACAATCATTTCAAGATCTCGAAAGCACATCCACCTAGATTAAGGTATATGACCACTAAAAAGTGCACCTTCGAAGCAAACTAAGTTTCGCTTAAAACATTTTGTTTTCTATAACGAATAGTTTAGGAGACAATTGCGTGGGATGTTTATTAATTAAATATACTTCTTAGATGTTGAAAGTCCACCGAGTCAATCTGTTAGTGCGTTTTCTGATCAAAGTGGAGACAGACCTTCGACGAAACAGTTGGACGACGACGTAAGTACAGAGCAAAATTGTCTGCATCGTGAGATGTTCAACTCAATCTGTATCATTTGCAGAATATTTGGGTATCATCGCCAAAGGACACTGTTTTTCCAGAAACCATCCCCGAGGAGAGCTCTGGCGCCGAGGACGAACACGTAGTGAGTATCTAGAACAGACAACTTATTCTACTTATTTCCGCTTTGATCGATAAAATAATAGAATGAATGTGTCAGGTGATCTTCAGGTTACCGTCCCTCAGCGAGTCGGAGAAAGCGCTTGACGGGGTAAGAAAAGTTTCGAATTCTTTTCACCTCGCTTACTCGCTAATTATTCGGATACTTCAAGGCATAGATTGCAGACTTTTATGAACTTACGTGATTTACGATACATTTACGATACATCTATCTTGTTTCTATTTCTTTTTTTTTTTTTTAACTATGCTCGCAAAGATATGATGTCAATTCTCTGACGACCAATAATCACTTATCTATCGAGATAGTCAAGATTTGCAAATTTACAAGGAAGTTTGAACACATTGCCATTTCAGGGGGAAGCTAGTATTTTTCACGTAGCCATGGGCAGGACAACTGGGTTTTCAAAATTAACGATAGAACAGGTTACGGCTATTTCGGCACTGGACACTTGCAGACAATATCAGGAAAGATCAACGACCATAGGGTTGGTTAATTTTTGTGAATACGTTCAATCAGCAAAGTTTCATCACGATAGAATGTGACGTAAAAAAAATAAAAAAAAAAAAATAAATTTATTAGAGGTATGGAGAAGGAAAAAGAGGATCAGTATCACAGGACAGAGAAAGAAACGCAAGACACGTCGAAAACAAAGGGTTCCGTGCCGCAACGAGGTGCTACTGATTCAAGTGGTGCAGGATTAACAAGCAGTTGTCCTGCTATCGATGCAGATGTTCGGGCCGCTACTTTTCTCGACGTAGCTGTGCTTAGGTGCCTTTTTGTTCCTCAGTGGCAGGAGGAAGGTGTACATTGGGCTCTACAATTTTTATACCATAGGTATATTTATTTGTCTATGTATGCACTTTGCATGTGTAGAATTATTGCAACACGAAACATTGTATTGCAGATTACGCATGATTAACGAAGAAACATCGGTACAACAAATGCCACGTCGCCGTAGTAATTCTTTACCCATACCTAAGATAGAGGTGTCGATTTACCAAAGTCCGGAAAGTAAAAAGAAAGACGTGTCGAAGGATTTCATGGAAGTGCCGGCAGTTCGCGACGACGCCTTGCATCTAGCTGGTATGTGGAAATATATATATAT